CTGTGTTTAAGAACTACTTGGTATCACCTAAATTGTAAATTTAAGTATATTCGGTCGTTTCCTAAGTTAATATTTAGTGCAGTTATATAGAGAAGAACGTCAAAATAAATTGTCGCTTCTGATGCAAATGGGATCAAAACAATGACTTCCGTGGATATTTTGTTGATTTTCAAGCATTTTTCGATCCAAAACATAAAAAATTATTTTGACCTCCATTTATGGAGCTGTCAATCAAACTTTTGTTGAATCAAGCTCCCTAGGGAATGTACATTTCATAGACGCCTGGGGAATTCAAGACAGCACATTTGATATTAGCGAGTGATCGGTCTTGAATTCGCCAAAAATGGCCTTTATAAGTGTTGTTTTGAGTCATTTTCTGCACAAAGAGCCCCTAGGACGGCATCATTAAGCTCCACTATAGGTGGTAGAGACACTCTTCTGGAAGAAATCAGAAGTGAGAAGCAATTTTTCGAGAAGAAAGGTTGCGGTTGTTGTCAGTCCTCGAGTTTCCCAACAAAGTGAATCACATTTATACGCAGTTTGTTTAATCAAGCATGAATAATTTTAAACTTCTTTCCAAGCTTTCGACCTAAGCGGTCCATAGGCTACCCAACTATAGCTTGAGAGAAAGAAAAGAATGAATGCGCACGCTTTTATATTATGTTATCRAATCGGCGYGYGCTGTGGGTTACCTGTGGTATTRCGTCACGATCGCGCGCCTCGCGGGATACAAACTAGTCTGTGACAAGGTATGAAACACTGGTCACGTGATGGACCGATGTGCGCCCCAGGCAGCTGGGCATAAGATCTGAAACTATTGCGTCATCATCGGAAACCGAGCGGACTTCCAACTCGTGAGATTGTCGAGAACTATCGTGAACCATCGAGACTTTCACGGAGTATTTTCGTAATTCCCGAAGTATGTAGCTTTTACATCACATTTCTTGACGTCCTTTGTGTATAGTTTACAAAACAAAACAAAACATGAGCGAAATTACTCCAAACTTTGAGCAAAGGAAAGCCGTAGACCTGGCTATGTCTGGACACAATGTTTTTCTAAGTGGCAGAGCCGGTACAGGGAAAACTTTCACGGTCAAATACCTCGTGAAAATGTTGGAAAAGCACAAAACCTT